TTCCAAGCTAAAACATCTCTACTATCTGTACTATTCAGGGCATGGATTGAGTTTTTCTTCAATACAATCTTGTAGGCATTATCGCCCTTGCAAAGATCACTCTGGCAGTGAAGGAGGTGGTCCAAACAGACAATCCCTGGAGTAACCATAGGATCACTTAGGTGATAATAATTTAATCACCTTAGGTGATAATGATCATTTTTATCAGCAGAATTTTCAGCAAACCTTTTAGCAGAGGCTAGATTTGAATATTATTTGGAATTGAAATTGGCTCCACACATGTAATTAACCAATCACGTCACGTGATTTTATTTTAAAATACTATTCTCACTTACTACACCTTTGTTTTTAAAAGATTTTCACAACCTTAGCATCCCCCCATACCCATTTTTTTATCTTTATTTATCTTTTGTAGATTTTTATGTGCTTTTTTATGTATATTCCTGGCTAATTACATTTTGGGCGTCAATTTTAAATCATTAGACCCTTATGTAAACACTCTGAAGAAGCCACATATGGTGAAACTCGTAATGGTTATTTTATTTTGTGTATTTAGATCAATAGAAGTCTTTTTGGTTACTTTGCTGTGCCAATCCTATTTTTATTGTATTTTATATACACTTTTTTATCTTTCCTGGCATTTTACTGTTCCTGTACTCAAAGAAATCCTAGGTGGGGATCATACCACCAACGCTTTATCTGTAGAGCAATGTTTCTGCTCTATACTTGTGAATATAATTTTATCTACTTTTATACAATTTTATTATAATTGAGAGCCCTATTGTTGCCTTTTTTATTTATTTATTTTTATTTCCTTTTGGAGCCTTGGAAAACCAGACGGTGCTGTCAGATGCACTCTCTCTACACTTCTCATAAGTGGGGATTATACCACGGTATACCCTTCACACCAGAGCTGGTTATAGCTCTTTTAAATATGAGTTTTCTACCTCTTTGTACTACATTTTATTTTGAATTTTAGACTTACTGCACTATTATATGTATAAACGAACATCTTGAGATAGTCTGACGCACCTATTCTACTGAAGAGCTCATTTATCTACATTCTGTCAAGTATTCCTGACCGTCTATTGCTGCTCTAGTGAGACTTTATATTTGGGGCTACTTTATCTTTATTGGCGAAAGCCCTAACCCATCTTTTGTGTATTGCAATCTCGATTTGCTGAAGGGTTTGAGGGGTTCCCTTCGCTAGGGTTGCTGCCTTATTACATATTGTTTGTTAATAAGCGCTGATCTACTGTTGTTTTGTGTGTACATACAATGACAGACATACTGACAGACAGACATATACTGACAGACATTCACAGACACAGACACACACACACACACACTGGCAGACATATTGATACACATTTACACACACATGCAAAATGTACACTTTTAAACTCACCCCCAGATTCCTATCTTGGAGGTTAGCTTCCCCGGTGTCCAGACTGGTGGTTGAGACTGTTGGAAGTTGGGATCTGGCTCTCCCGGCCCAGTCCTCCTCCTCTTTGCCTCCTCACCTCTCTGTGGGAGGAAGTGACTTGCGGCTTTCACTTCCTCCCATCTTGCTGAAAAGCAAGGGGCCCGACCTGCGCTGTTAAAGTGCCACAGTGCATGACCAGGCCCCTGCTGACACAAGCCCACAGGATGGCCCTTAGTGCATGGCAACCCAGTGGGCCTCTTTAGTGTGTGGGTCCCCGACTGCAGTGGCAGGCCTATAGGGGAAGAAAATGGTTAAGGGCAGCGGGGCCCATGGAGCAGCTTCATCAGACTTCCCATTAGTAACTGGGCCCGGACTGCTGCCCTGTTTGCCCTGCGTTAAAGACGGCCCTGTCTAAAGGTACTAATTCCACTTCCACCTTGAGCATAATAAAGAGAGTGTCCGAGTGTCCACCCAGACTGGTAGAGACTCACAGGGCTAAGATCACATGTGGTCTGGGTTTATGAAGATAGAACACAATGCAGATATTCCTCCTTAGTCAGCGTTCAGCCCCAGGACTCTTTCCTATTGACGGCAGGACTGTGATTTGTGAGAATAACAATCTTTCAGACACTTTTCCAGACAGCTCGTAGCCCACCGCTGAATGGTTCCTGGAGACTTGCAATCGATGTAATAATCGACTGCACATTTAGACTTGTTTCATGATCAAAACACCTTTTTAACCACTGAAACATTACCTTTGGAAATTATGGAATAGTTGAGAATATATTTTATATTAATCGAACACAGGGTTGGAGCAGAAAGCAGGATTATACAGTCGGTAAATGTGAGGGTCAGAAGGGAAGGATTAATGTGATTTATTTCAGTTAGGAGGGATTGCACACTTTCATCAATAGCTAGTATGTAAACTCAACAATAGCTTCAAATAGCTTAAGTACTTCTGATTAAAAATTCTTACATTTATCATTCCGGCTCTTTTAGAACACCTTGTGAGGACTAATTCTTAATTAAGTACATGATGCCCAATATTGCAATATTATCAAGGTATGAATTAGTCAAAATATTCAAAATAGGTAATTCTAAAAAATGTGGGTGAACAATAGACTTGGGCATTCGTTTTTAGACAAATGCAAATTTGTCAGAATCTCAGACAATTAGTTAATTGGGGCATGCACATGTTTTAAACCTCCCTTATACTAACAAAGTGTTAGTTGACCCCCACAAATCTTGACCCCCATTGTGTTTTATTCGTCTCTTATTTCAGGAGATATTTGTCTGCGTTAATTAAACACATTTGGAGGGATTGGTGGAAGGAAGTGTCAGGGAGCTCTCCATTTTTAACAATTCACTTGCTGGCAATGAGTGAGAGTTTAAAAATGAAATCAAATCGAAAATATGCAACAAAATTCGGAGAAACCAAACCAAAACATGAATCAGATTTTCCAGTCTTGTCTAGTAAACAATGGTAAAAAGTGAATTTTCAGTCTTCGGACCCAACAAACAGCTGAATTATATGTGGGAGATTAGCTTCCTCTACTGGTTAGTAATTGGTATTATATTTTTGAAAACCGATTCCCAGTTTTATTGACACATTTGAATTAAACAAGTTTCAGGAAATCTTGTATATCTGCATTAGGCAATCATACAACTGATAACAGCTCTGCTGCATACATGAACAGTTTATAAATACAATTTTAGCATTGTTATAAAAGTAGGAGTATGCTAAGATGTAATACACCTTTCTAACCACTAGAGAGCGTATGATCACCATTTTTAATTCATGGCATTACTTTCTTTTTTTAACAGTTCTTATATGGCGCTCTTACCCGGAGTGTATTACAATTCATGCAAAAATAGCATTGGTAATTCTACAAACAGGACAAAATATTTAAACACACTGAAGTAAAAGGAGAAGAGAACACTGACCGTGAGCTTGCAATCTAGAGGGTAACTGGACATTGAAGCAAAAGGTTATGGTGGGAAAATGCAATTGTAACAGAAATTGTCCACAAGTGTGCCTATATGATGAGTACTTTTTAAGAAACAGTATACCGTACACACTGAATATGTACATAGAATCTATAAACAATGCTCGTCAGTCACTATGCATTCAAAGTGGAGGAAGTTAGGAGTTAGGATCATAAGTAAGAAGTCAGGAGCACCCCTTGGACAGAGGTCTACAGAGAAGAGAAGGTAGTGTTGAAGCAAAGAGAGTTTATTGTGAAAGAGATTGACTCGGTTGGGATATATGCCGGGAATCAATTTGAACTTGTATGGAAGAGTTGCATTTGGGGGAAAGGAAGAAGCATGAGTGGTGTTCATGTTTCTGTAATAATGGGAGGATGCTATGATCGAATATGTTGAGTTGTAAGGAAAAAGTGTGTGATCGGGTTAGGAAGTGACTGGGAAGGCATAACTGAAGAGGTGTGCCTTTATAAGTCTGCAGAAAGATGAAAGAGAAGTGATTTGATGTGGAGAGGGTGCTTGTTCAAGTGGCAGGTGGCTAAGAAATAAAATGAGTGGAATTATGAAGGAGCACATAGGCATTGGGCTTGGGTAAGAGAGGTGGAGTTAGGAGAGTGGTGAGGACAGCTTGGAGGGTGGCAGGAGATAAGTGAGGAGAAGCATGGAGGAGCAAGGTTATGGAGGGATTTGAGCATGAGGTTAAGACATTTGAATAGAGAATACTGGTGTATCAGAAACATAGAAACATAGAATGTGACGGCAGATAAGAACCATTCGGCCCATCTAGTCTGCCCAATAGAAGCCACTTGAGCTTTGAAACAAAGGGCAGGTTCTGAGATCGTTAATTCTCAGAGGTCACAGTATGCAGTGCAGAATAAAGTCATGCATGTCTATTATGTGTTAAATCATGTGCTGTGTCTTTAATATCGAATACGAAGAACATTTTCATGTATTCATTCATTTTCATCTCATACTTTGAGGCAGAGCAGCAGAGCAGCATGTGGACTTTAAAACCTATGAACATGTTTTAAGCATGAAAAGGTCATGTAGTGAAAAAACTCTAAAATCAGCTGTATAGTATTAATCATCAGATTCACTATGGGAAGCATGCTGCATGTGAACATATGTATACATGTCCAATTAACTGCAAATAGTCATGTAAGTCTGCTGCCATCTAGTGGCTGATACAGTTCTAGTACAGATTCCAAAATAGCTGAACCTCTAATAATTTAGTATTTTCCATAATGAATAGGCGACATGCATACATCATCTCTCTGATATTCAGTGGCTCTAATCTTGACCAGAACGAGGACACACATGTACTGGTATCGTCTGTCAGAGATTATTGGGAGTTACACCGCAAAGCTGCAGCTGAAATATCTGACACTGGGACTGTATAACTACCACAGGGTTAGTTCCAAAAGAGAACATTTTGGGGAATTAGAAGTGAATTTAAAGCAAATTTCATATTTAAGGCCAAAGTAGTGCAACTTGAAAGATTCTCCAAGACACCTTTGCTTCCAGTTCAGCTATTTTCACCTTAAAGGACCACTATAGTGCCAAAAAAACATACTAGTTTTCCTGGCACTATAGTGCCCTGAGGGTGCCCCCACCCTCAGGGACCCCCTTCCGCCCGGCTCTGGAAGGGGGAAAGGGGTAAAAACTTACCTTTTTCCAGCGCTGGGCGGAGAGCTCTCCTCCTTCTCTCCTCCTCCGTTCCGCCCCGTCGGCTGAATGCGCACGCGCGGCAAGAGCTGCGCGCGCATTCAGCCGGTCGCATAGGAAAGCATTTACAATGCTTTCCTATGGGCGCTGGCGTGCTCTCACTGTGAAAATCACAGTGAGAAGCACGCAAGCGCCTCTAGTGGCTGTCAATGAGACAGCCACTAGAGGATTAGGGGGAAGGCTTAACCCATTAATAAACATAGCAGTTTCTCTGAAACTGCTATGTTTATTAAAAAATGGGTTAACCCTAGCTGGACCTGGCACCCAGACCACTTCATTAAGCTGAAGTGGTCTGGGTGCCTAGAGTGGTCCTTTAAATTCACTATAAAGGAATTCTTCGGTCAACATAACAACTAAATCTAAATAAAGCTGTAATCATGACACAAGGCCTCCGGGTGATCTCTGACCTTGATAAGTTAAACGACCCATCTGAATCTGAGTACCAGGAAATGCAGAGTGCCGCCAGGCAGGGGCGCCGCTGATTGAATAGAGTGGTCAACGGACGTTCTTTGCCGATCAGTAGCTCCCTATCCATAAAAAAAGGAATGTACCTGGCACGCTGCACAGAGCTTGACATCACTAAATCTTTTATGGTATATGGAGCTCTCTCCCTTCATCACTCCCAGCCATCCCTCCATCTCACACATTCTCCTATCATTTCTGACACATCCCTCACTCTTCCCATCCTCTCATCAATCCCAGCCTCCTCAACCTGCTATCACTCCAACTCATTCCTTGTTCTCCGCCATCTCCTATCACTCCCAACCATTCCTCCCATCCTCACACACCTAACTTTCTCTCCCAATTCTTATCACTCCCATCCAAGCTTCCACATTCACTCCCAGCACACTCATCTTCACACAGGGCCCTCACAGCAACACACATCACACACAGAAATACTATTCACTCACAGGTAGGTTAGGGACAGTCAATAGAGGGAAAAGAGGTGTAGTAAAAAAAAATATCGCTACCTATTTATAATAAATATCTATACGTTTAGAATTTTTTCTTTTTGAAAAATAATTCTTCTCGTTCCCTCTGTTGGTAACTTTATCTCACTCCTATCAGTGTAGTGTAAAATATATACATAATATTCATGTCTGATTTGTTTCCCCAAATCTTTTTTTGGCAAACAAAATTTTTCCGCAATGACCAACTCTAGCAGACACTTAGATAAATCTCCCCTGGAGATTCTAGACAAATATCATTAGGGGAAAACTTTGTGTGATATCATTTCAAGCGCAATTAGTTTCTGCCTTGGTAATATGAAACGGAATGCTTCGATAATTTTTGTAGAAGTAAAATGTTAGCCGGTCACCGGCAAGCGCTCTTCATTCTGCTTAATTTGAAAGTGCCTTTCCAGCCACCTCTGAGTATTCAATCGATTATTTTTCAAAGTGAAAAACTCTTGCACAACATAACAATTTTTCCTTTTTAATTAGGACCTTGGGCTGGATGTATTATTTTTTGCGAAGATATAAAATTTCACTATCCTTTCTTATTTGCTCAGACTGTGTTTGTCATTGGTATATGTTTATAACTGTCTATTAATTTCATATGCTTTTATAAAGATTAACATTATGTCTTTATTTAACACCTTCAGCTTTGCTTAAAGGGAATCTAGAAACTATATCCCTATAGTGCCCACCTAAATCACCCCTCCCTCCCCCCTCCATGGTGCAGAAGGGGTTAAAAACCACCCAGAAGTCCCTGTAGTAGACAGGCACTAGAGGTGGAGTTAACCCACAAAGGTAATTATTGCAGTTTCTTAAAAATTGCAATAATTACCTTTACAAGTTTAATGGACCTGCGAATAAGCACCCAGACCACTTCAATGAGCTGAAGTGGCCTGGGTGCCTATAATGTCCCTTTAAAGAACCACGATAGACACCCAGGCCACTTTATCTCAGCTACCAAGTAAACGAAGTAAAACTCAATCATGTGATGCAGAAGGCAGAGAGGTAAGCTGCGTCGAAGGAGCCTCAAGAGTGTGGAACAAGGTAAGTAAAACTTTAAATGAATCCTTTTATATGGCAAATGAGGGAGGACTGGAACACAGTTCTCTTGTTAAGAATACAGGGTGAATTCCTAATGCATCAGTGTTCTTTTATCTAGAAACATAAAATCTACCACTTAAGGGGGAACTGTAACTTTTCTAAAATATTGAAAATCACCTATAACTTGTGATAACTTTATTTCATTAGACACTGGACACTGTTTTATTTTAATTTTACATTATTATTTATATATTTAGACAGAAATGCACTATTACCTTTAAGATGCTCTGGAAATAGACAGACTTACTTGGACTCAGCAAAAAAAAAACTGGAAGCACAGCCGGTGTCATTTCCCCTTGTTCTTTCAGGAATTATTACCAATTCTTGTGCAACTATGTTCCAAGGTTCGGGATTATTTAATAATCTTGCACGCTCTTCTACCCATTCCATCCTGGATGTTGTTCTGATTTCTTTCTGCTCCTTGACCCTTAACAGGACACTCCAGAACCCTAAAGCAGTTTGCTGAAGTGCTTTATGTGGGAAAAGCGTGTCCTCTTTGTTTCATTTTACAAAAAGTACAGATTTCAATAGAATTATTGGCTGTCCCCCCTGGCTGTCAATCAGAGACCTGGTTCTGTTACTTCCTTGTTTGGTTAGCTCAGTGGAGCTAAACTCAAGAGGCAGCAATTGCCCAGAGCACCTCCCTTGCAAAGACTTCCCATTGAGCTACATTGGGAAGTCTGTGAATTTTCATAGAAACATAGGTTTATTTTGAAAAGTACAGTATAAAAAAGCCCTCAGTACCCCCCTCTACTAAACCACAGCACACCTCTCTACTAAATCCCAGTCCCCCCCTCTACTAAATCCCAGCCCCCACCCCCATATACAGAATACCAGTACCACCCTCTAGCCAACAAGCAGACTCCACTCACATTGCTGCTGCCAGTATGTGACTCCAGCCTCTGGTATACCCCAAATGGCGCCATCCGCACCCTGTGCCAACTCTGATCCACCTGCTACATCTTGAAACCCTGTGAAGGTGGAGCACATCAATGCCACTTTGGAATGTGATGTGTCGTTGCGTGCCTCCATGCACCTCCTGGTACTCCACTGTCCAGTTGCAGCCAATGCAACACTCACAGACACTGAAAGACACACACAGGCACACACAGACACTGACAGACACAAACAGACACACACACTCACTGACAGATACACACACTCTCTGACAGGCACACACTCACTCACAGACAGACAGACACAAACAGACAGACACACTCACTAACAGACACACACTCACTCACTGACAGACACAGACACACAGACACATACTCACTGGCATACACATACACACTGACAGTCACACAGACACAAACACACACAGACAGACACACACACACACAGACAAACACACACTCACTGACAGACACACTCACTGACAGACACACTCACTGACAGACACAGACACACTCACTGACAGACACTGACACACACACACAGACACATACTCACTGACAGACACATACACACACAAATTTACACATTCTTGCACACACATCACTTTCTTTATTGCTCCCTACCTTTTGGAGCCGATGTGGGTCCTCTCCCTGGGGTCCATTGGGGATCTTCTATCTGCTCCTCACTGCTCCCTCGCGTGGTTTAGTGATGCCGGGTGCTGGAATATGACGTCATATTCCGGCGCCCGGCTTCACTAGAGACGGCTCTCACGTGAGAAAATTGAGGAGTAGGAACACTGAGCTCCCTCGCTGGCCCTCCTCCCCAGCCGGGTAAGTGTTAGCAGAGTAGGCACCTGCAATGGTGGGGAAAGTCGGTGCCTACTCTGCTATACCACTAAGCATGCACTCGTGGCTCGCCGGCTCGTGGCCCGCGAGTCTGACATGCTTGACATAAACCATCAATGGTACCATCACACACACAGACACACACACTTACTGACAGATACACACACACACTCTCTGACAGGCACACACTCACTCACAGACAGACAGACAAAAACAGACAGACACACTCACTGACAGACACAGACACATACTCACTAACAGGCACATACACACTGACAGACACACAGACACACACATACAGACAGACACACACACTCACTGACAGACACACTCACTGGCAGACACACAAACAGACACACTCAATGACAGACACAGACACACTCACTGACAGACACTGACACACACACACACAGAGACACACACATTTACACATTCTTGCACACACATCACTTTCTTTATTGCTCCCTACCTTTTGCATCCGATGTGGGGCCTCTCCCTGGGGTCCAGTGGGGATCTTCTATCTGCTCCTCACTGCTCCCTCGCATGGTTTAGTGATGCCATTCCGGCGCCCGGCTTTACTAGAGACAGCTCTCACCCGAGAAAATTGAGGAGTTGCAACACTGAGCTCCCTCGCTGGCCCTCCTCCCCGGCCGGGTAAGTTTTAGCAGAGTAGGCACCTGCAATGGTGGGGAAAGTTGGTGCCTACTCTGCTATACCACTAAGCATGCACTCGTGGCTCGCTGGCCCGTGCTTGACTTACACCATCAATGGTACCATCAAAGCTACTCTCAAAACTACATGTTAAAACTACAATCAAACCTTCCATCAAGCTACCATCAAAGCTACTCTGTAAACTACACACTAAATACAAGGAAGAACATAAAAACACTAATATCTAAATCATTATCTTTAAAAATATTACATTCAGATAATGTAAATAAAAAGTTAATTTGATTGCCAATGAAAATGAGAAGCAAATGGGAAAGGCTGGATTAATTAATTTAAATCCAATTGGCTTAATCACATCCGAATTTGGTCTTAATGTAAAAAATATCTGTAAAAAGCAGAGAGGACACAATGTGACACAGTCCGTGCCCAGATCATATTTGTGATCTCTATCAAGTGTTTACTTAACTGAAAATTGTCGGGAAGTGAAGAGAGAATTTAAAATGTTATGCCCATCTAGCCAAATTGGATGACATCTCCACACAGCTGTATGTCAAGCTTCACTGAAATATTAACGAACAATGTTTACCTTTCAAAAGAAATACATATTCAGAAGTGAAATCGGAAACCATTGGGATCAATTCAAGCA